GGATGCGTAAGTATTTGAACACAGTGGATATTTTTGAGAATTTCATTGAAAGCTCAGAGCAGATTTCATTGATTGAAATCTGTTTCAGGACATGTGAGAATCTTGGAAGACATTGTCATAAATTGGTTCATTTGAATCTAGAAAATTGTACAGCGATTACCGACCGAGCGCTTAGGTATATAAGGTAGGCTATGATTCTGTTTCAGTTTTCTTAAATTTTTTTATTAGGCTAATTCAAGCTCTGCTTGTGTGCGATGTAGGGCACGTTCTGCCGTTGGGGAAAAATTTTTGCCAAATACGACTCTCTTCTCTCAGAAACACGTCCTTTTCTCTCTGCAACGTTCCCCGTCCTACATACCATCTTCCTATCCTAAATTCTTCCAACTTCCTACCACTTTTCCTGTTTTTTTTCAACAAAAACTTCCTGAGGGAGAGGAGGGGAGGATATAGCACACCTGAAACAGGAAAAAACCGAGAACAGTCAACGACCGAAAACATTTTTGTCGGGGACAAGTACAGCTTCTTCTCCTCTCACCCTCTCCTCCCTTTGACGAACAAATGCGACCCCAGCCTAGGCTTCCCTTATTGATTCTTCCGCAGCGGCTAACTCACGGGGACTTTCTTTTCTATGGGGCTCCAAGTCCTGCCCTAGGCCCCACATCCTTTTTCCGAACAACCCTTTAGGATTTTGTGCATTAATTTTCATGAGGATGGAGATGTGAAGTAGCAAGTGGCTCGTTTACCTAGTTCATGGTCCAAACCCCGGATTGGCTCTCTCCCAAGGCAACCAAGCTGTCTACCATCCGAGGACGGTAACCCATACTATCTACCGCATGTATATTCTACACAGTTGGCCCCATTACATGCCCCGCCCCCAGGCAACCACACCCCTTTTTGCCGGAAACATGATTTACACTTACATTACCCACAGTATGCACTACATACTGCACCTATACTACTTTTTCACTTTTTTCATCTATTACAAATACACACCCTTGAATACATTTTTATTCAATAGTACACCACCTGACCCTGCCCTGAGACTCCACCAACTTGGTCGCTCGCAACCGTCTGCAATGGTAAATAATGATTTCTAGATGCCCACCGGCACTGAAGGCCGACACATTATAGTACACCTTTCAATAACTCGATTCGCTCAATCAGACGAAGAGAGTAATGGTGCTTGGGGTAGAAGAGGAGATACGTATGTAATTATCTGTGATTTCGGGAATAGCGAAATGTTTACTGGAGAATGTGGGACCGATGAAACCAGTTGAGACTGATGGACGCTCTTCCTGGGGTTGTTGCCATAAAGTCATAAGATACGGTAGAGGTGATGTAGTGGAAGAGGCGCTACATATAGTTCGCGGTTCAGGGCTCCAACCTCTTATTGGCTCTCAGCCAGGTAGACCAACCCTTATATTCCCACAGTACCAGTGAAAAGGTACCAGACTAGTCTAGTAAAAGTCTGAAGTCTTCGCCGTTAATCAATCCCTTTGTGGGATGCGGCACGCATTCTACTTCCATTCAGAATCGTAGTGGCTTATTGAATGCGATGTGGCCTATACAATGACTTGCGGTGGCCAGCCGATGTACAAGTCAGTGTTTTATCCTCCCAGACGAATCTGGTACCAATTTACCGTCCCCGGAGGGTAGAAGGCTTGGTTGGCCTGGGCGGGAGTCGACCCGGGATTCGAACCCGGCGCCGCGCGAGTGGTAAGCGCGCCACTTGTCACTACACCACTTCCGCCTTCCAGACTAGTCTACAAGGGTAAAAACACCGACTTGTATATCGACTGAACCCGCTAGTCATTGTATAGGCCATATCGCACTTGAAATGTCACCGCGATTCTGAATGGAGGAAGACTGCGTGGCGCATCTCAGGGAGAAGCTGTCCAATTGCGAATGCTTTTCTCTTTATTCTAGAAGCTATGCGTACATAAAGAGAAGTGGATTCAAGAGCAAGGCACATGAATCAGTCTGCAATTTCAGTGATGGATGTTCAAATCTGCAGTATTTGAATATCAGTTGGTGTGATAATATACAAGATAAAGGCGTCCAAATGATATTAGCTGGTTGCAAAGGTCTCACTACTCTTATTATGAAAGGATGTGAAGGAGTAAGTGAATGCGAGCATGATTATATAGTGTTTTCGGAACTAAGTTGATTCTGCTTTCCAGTTGACCGAACAAGTTTTCGCTAATTCGATCGATAACATGAAAAACTTGGAAGTGATCAATTTACTGTCATGTTTCGTGAGTGATTTCTGCATTGGTTCTTAAGTCGCGTTCATACTTCGTGGCTTGAGCGATCGCGCGATCTAAAAGTCAGTCACTGCTGTCGACCATGCCCCACTGCTAATCGTTTAAATTTTTCAAAACTCGGAGAGGGGTTGTATTTAGAGCGTGTGGCTGAGGTGGCACTTCTAGCGGTTCATTCACTAGCAGTTGGGCGTGATCGGTCACACTCGCCCGAATCGCGCGATTAAATCGCTCGAGTCGCAAAGTATGAACGCTGCCTTATTGTGGGATTGATCGAATGTTTCACTAGAGTTGTGATTTTCCAGGTCAATGATGAAACTGTAGCACATATTGCACGAGGCAGTCCTCATTTACAGTATCTTTGCCTGTCAAATTGTACACAAATCACCGATCGATCATTGATCTCATTATCACAAGGCTGCAGAATGTTAACGTGAGTATTGACTGATTCTTTTCCTAAGTCTTTTTATCGTTAGTCCTGCCTGCTTTCACATTTTAACCCGCCTCACCTGTCGGTTAAGAGATCCACGTTGCGGCCACCGCGCGAACTAGCTGACCCTTGGCCGGTTGACCACTTCTTTGACACGGATGATTGAGATGGTGCCACCAGGCCATTTGACCTTTTCTCTCGACACGGCGCTAACTTGCCACCTAGTCCTTTTTATCACAAGGTCTGGCTGCTCTCATATTTTGACCCGCCTTACCTGCAGGGTTCTTTCAAATTTTTTGAATGGACCTATACGTCACCTTGCCGAGAATGGCTTCATGACTGTTCCGGACTCTATCTTAGGCTGAGTGCGTAGACAAACAGACATGATCTGGTGTAGTCGCGTAGTTGTGTTCCCCTTCTGCTCACCAAGTCGGCTGCCCCTCCGCTCACCTGCTTCTGTCTAGCACCTTGAAGGGCCAAAAACGGCGTAGTCCCTCATGACCTCATCCATAGACCGGGATTCCTGTCAACATTGTCAATCAACACTAATCGCTATAAAACTGAGAACTTCTTGACTTTACACTTTTTGACCTTCCTCAAGTTCTACAAATTTCAGAGACATCGAGCTGTCTGGTTGCAGTCTTCTTTCGGATGCCGGTTTTATTCAGCTGGCTAGGCACTGTAAAAATTTAGCGCGTATGGATTTGGAAGATTGTAGTCTTATTACAGACGCCACTATTCATTCGCTCAGCACCAATTGTAGTAATTTGTCGGAATTGGTGAGTTGAAGGTTATTCTAGGGTGCCGTTCAGGAGATCCACACCGCAGCGATGTATTGAAAGCGGTGTTATAAGTGGTGCCTCGTGCGCGACATTCGCACCAGGACCTAATTCCCGCAATTAAGTGTTTTCAAAATGACTCCGTGTTTTGAACTGTTATACGCGTTCACAATGAACATACCACTTTCGTCCCTCAAAACGGCGCAATAAAGAAGTTAGAGACATTTGCGCATGGCAACAGTGGCAAGAGCGACATCATACTGTAGCTGGACGCTCGCGAAGCTTCTATCCCTCATAACAAACTCTTCGGGCAGTGGTCGGGCGCGCGGCGCTCTGGCATTTCTCCATCTTCGGTGATCCGCGCTTTCCATGCCGATTAAGCGCATAAACTCGGCACATTGACATAAATTGTATAGATTCTTTGAATTGTTGTCTTGAGTTAAAGTTTTTTCCCATATGGTTTTGCATAGCGCCATGCCTATTAGGAGATGTGAACGGCGAAAGAGCAGCAAACCTTTTTCAAGTTTCATACTCTGCAAGCGAGGGGAAGGACGTGATCTGAAGAGCAGGTAGTTCGTCTTCCGTACTCATGGCAAGAGGAGGGCAAGAAATGAAGAGCAGTTATGTGTTTTTCAAACTCACCTAAGGTCTTTGATGGACACTATCCAGATGTTACTACCCCAATCTTCGAATCAGATCATTTACATATCGCAGCTTCTAAAAAAAGGCTGAAAATTTGTTTCCACACCTTCAACCTCCGACATGAATATCGCATCGCCTGGCTAAGAATTGCCTAGTGCTCACGCCACGGTCCCACGGCTCAAGTTTTGCGATCCCAATCGATAAGGAGACCGCTTCCTTCGCGCCCGACCTACTCGTCCAAGACTGCCAAAGGTAAGTCTGACAATGAGTTTTGAGGTGTTCCCTCTGATTTTTTTTCGCGTTGTTCTACGTGACTACCCTATGGGATTACTGATCATGAACTGGAGCACCAACACCGCAACACTTGATCCCGAGAACTGTCTTTAACGTGAAAGTAATATAGCATGTCGATTCAGCCGGCTAGGAAATAAAAGTTACTGCACATCGCTGCAATTGGTTATTCCCGTAGGCCCCTACTGCAACTTGACGGGAGAGCCCTCGGTTACGGTATGGCTCGATCCACGTTCATATTTCGCGACTCTAATTGTTTTCAAAGGCCCCAGGTGGAAGTAGCCATATGAGATAAATCCCATGTCATCAGATGAATTTCATGACGCTCATGTCATATGTACCTGCTCGCATGACTACCAAATTTTTGCAGCCTTTTAATTCTTATGGTTTTAGAGCCTTTCCCACTGTGAGCTAATTACGGACGAATCAATTCATTGCCTCTGCACCAACAACAAGGAGAAGTTGCAGGTATGCTGTATTTCGCTGAGTATTTTGTTTTTTTTTCTTCTGCTTTTGCAGTGCAAAGTTGATACCTTACCTACCTTTTTTGTAGGTTTTGGAACTGGACAATTGTCCGCAGATAACTGACTCAGCACTTTCACATATGCGACATGCAAAGGCATTGAAACGAATCGACTTGTATGATTGCCAGAATGTTTCGAAGGAAGCCATCCAAAGATTCAAGGTTTGCGCCTCCAGTTCTTGAGACACAGCGCTATGTTAAACGAATTAGCTGACATAGTCAATGCTTAGAAAAATTGTCGTTCCATGAAAGATATAGGTATTGATTGCCATAGGTGCGCGCCGTGCGGTAGGGTACTCGTTCAGCATCCACGTTTGGACCTTCACCAGTGAACCGTGACTCCTGTCAAAAACCGGCGAAAGAATAACTGATATTCTAGCAGTCAGTCTCGGGGTGTCAGGAGGGGCAAAATTAGCCCGCCTCCAGCTACCTTTCCCTTGCCTTTAATAGTGATCGGTTAGTAATCGATGCAGTAAAGACATAACCAAAGATGAAGGACGCCGCGGGTGGGTTCATCTGATGCCTTGATGCCCCCTTTACCCTCCTCCGACTGATTGTTAATATAATAACTGTAGTTGTAGAGGAAGCGCCCGCTCTGATGGACTCCTCTCTCCTGAGGCTGACCATCAACCTACTGAGGGGTCACTGTCTCGGCGGCATGACGCAGGCGATCAAGCTTGATCGCGCTGCGACGTCATTTATCTGCCTGCCTGTACCAACTTGTATTGACCTTATGGAGTCAAAGTGTATAGCAGAGCAGCCACGCTGGTCTTCAGCAACAGAGCAATATTTCCGTTTTTTCTCTCTTTTAATTTTCTCTTCTAACGCTTTACGCCAGCCGGAAGGTGGTGTAGTGGCAGGAGTCACGATCATCACGCGCACGGTCCCGGGATCGAGTTCCAGATCAGCTCCCGCCCACGCGAAACAGGCCTTTCTGTCCTCCCGGGGCCGTAAAGTACCAGATTGAGCTGGCCTCCGCGAGGTTGTAGGCCAGTGTAGGCAATTGTGTAGGCCACATCGCGTTCAGTAAGCCACTACAATTAAGAATGGAAGCAGAATACATGCTGCATCCTCAAAAGGATTGATCAGCGGCGAAGACTTTATCCTTTATCCTTTACGTTTTGCGTTCTGCAGGTAGTCCTCCTTCCTCAATCCACCGTCTTATTTTCCTTAGCAATTTCCTCGAATTCATTTGTATCCTGAAAATCCTTTGTTTTCAGCATCATCGACCACATGTGGAAATCCATGCTTATTTTGCCCCAGCCACACCTCCAGCTAATCCGGCTACAGCCCGAGCAGGTACTAGTGCTTTCCGCGTTCTCTTTCCAATATCTTGCTAATGTTTCAGTAGGGTGGAGGTGTCGTCTAGGAGGAGAAAAATGCTGCTCTGTTAAGCTGGCCCCGCAAGTCATTGTGTAAGCGATATCGCATTCAATAAGTTTTGCGATTCTGAGTGGAACTAGAATGCGTGCCGCATCCTATGAAGGGATTGGTCTTAATAATTAGGCGTAGGCCATCCTTGGATTATTGTTCGCTGCGGGTAATGAGGTGTGCTGTCAGGAGGAGCAGGTTTGGCGCCGACGCCAGTCCATTTTCTCTTCCATTTTCTCCTTCAAAAAAGCGACAAGGGCTTGCACCATTATTGGTTAATTCAGTCGTTTTCACCAATTTTGGTCGCTTACCCCGCTTCAATAGCTAGGTGGAGAATAACGATTGGCGACGCCGCCAAGCCCTGCCTCGCTGACACGCCCCTTGATCCGCAGCGAACCAGGCTGTCACAGAATCTTAGAAAGAAGTAATCTCTTTCTATCGTTTACAAGTAGGCGAAGTTGATTGTAAAACGGTTATGCGCGTGTGATTGTGAAAGCCAGCCTCTTTTCGTCAACTTTTTGTTTAGCCTCTAGTAATGATTTTTGTTTTGCTTGTATTGTCATTAATTACATGTCGTCATCGGCACTTGATTAGGCGGCAAGCGATCGCGACGTGGCTGCGGCATTCACGCAGGCGCCGCGCGATCAGCTGTTCCAGGCCTGTTTTAGCCATTTTCTCCCTAATTCACGTTGTTTCGGCTGATTTTCTCGCGATTAGTTCGTCCTTGCCTTCACATGGTGAATTATAATTGAGATTCCTCTGATTTTTGCGCCCACATTTAAAGACACATAGTACGCTCATACACATTGAGGGTGTATGAGACTATCAGCCCCCAGATGTCGATGTGTCGTGGTCCCCCCGCCCAAACATGCCCGGAATGCGCAGATCAGGGCGGTGAAACACGCTAATTCTTCCATGCTCCGCCCACTGCCTTTTGCGGCGCAGATTCCCGCCGTTCTGAACATCCGTTGCAAGCGCGCCTGTCGCGTGCGGCTCCTTGGCACTTTGCCAAGTCCTTTAATTGCGCTCTCAAATACAAGTAAAACGCAATTTCCTGATGCGGATAACATTGGAGGCTTCGCCTTACAAATTAAGCAGCGAAAGATGATGACGAGAGGTCAGAACCTAAAAGCGACTGTGCCACTTCTGCAACATCCCTCGGAGGCCACGTATTTCCACGAAACATGAAAATAAAAACTAAAAACGGCATACTCGTTAGTTTAATACAAGCAAGACGCAATTTCCTGATGCGAATAAAATTTAAGGTGTTGCTCATGCTTCAAAATCCATGTACAAGGAGATGAAGATGACACAGGCTAGAAATGAAGCACAACGATGTAAATGTAAACAAAACAAAAATGAAAAAATCAAGGAAAGGCAAATTAGATAAACTGGCCTGTAAATTTCTACGATCCGGCGCCAAAGCCATAGAAATACTTAGAACAAACGAGTGGGACGCTTGGGCTGTTTTTATTTTCATGTTTTGTGGGAATGCGCGGCCCTTGATGGATACTGCAGATGCAGCCGAGTTGCTCTTGAGTTCTGCCCCTTGTCATCATCTTCTGCTCTTATTTTGTAGCACCTCCAATGTTATCCGCATCAGGAAATTGCGTTTTCCTTGTATTTAAGAGCGCAATTAAAGGACTTGGCAAAGTGCCAAGGAGCCGCACGCGACAGGCGCGCTTGCAACGGATGTTCAGAACGGCGGGAATCTGCGCCGCAAAAGGCAGTGGGCGGAGCATGGAAGAATTAGCGTGTTTCACGGCCCTGTATCTCCATTCCCGGGCATGTTTGGGGGGGACCACGACACATCGACATCTGGGGGCTGATAGTCTCATACACCCTCAATGTGTATGAGCGTACTATGTGTCTTTAAAACGCTACGCCAGACAATTGAACGACACCGAAAATCGCAGAAACACTATTGCAAAAACACAAAAGCACTCCACTGTTCTAATGTTCATGAAGGACAAATAAAATAAACTCCACCTTTGGAAAAAAATTAGAAAATACAGTTACTTAGGGAGAAAATGCATATATGGGACGGAAACACCTGTATCGCGGTCTGATCGCGCGACGGATCTGTACGCGCCGCAGCCGGCGTTCGCCTACCCTTCGCCGCCTAATCAAGTGCGCGCGATGGACGACTTCTACACTTCGAGTAATTTCTGTACCACTATGTCTTCTCCTACCGTGATTTGCAATAATCAACCCGTCAAAAATTGGTCCCAACCTTCAATTTCGTGACGTGTGAGCTTGATGGGTTGGCGAAGGCCTCTTCAACCTTCAGATGTCTGAATACTCTAAAAAATTTAAGATGAATAATATTATTCTTTTTTTCGGTTCCTGTTTCCGAGGCCGTTCCAGTACTGTCTGAAACGGTAAAAACCTTGGCTACTTTGAACTAACCGTAAGCGCCGTCTCGAACAAATCGTTTCTTCAGCACTATGCCTTGTTGGGACGTGCGCAGCGGTGTTAACACATTGCAGGAATGAATCGGTGAAACGTATTGTGGGTAAGGGAAATTATAAGAGCAGAATTTCATATTTTACATTATCGAAATTCGATATTTCAAGACACAACTACTAGTCACCTTATGCTGGTTTCTTTGGAACATAACCTTTTACGCGTTCGCTCAGAAAAGCAGAGATTTCATCTGCCTCAGCTGCTTCGCAATCGCGCGCACCTTTGTTTGTATGCTGCATTGTTGACTAAGGCGCTAAGTGATTACATTCAAGAAAGAACTGAAATTCGACAGTTTGAAGGCTTTTGGTTGGTGTAGTAGTGGGGGCGTCAAAGAAACACCTTATAGTGCCCCCTTCTTCTTTGCGCTAGGGACAAGTTGCGCACCACTGAGGAATATTATGGTCATCTGTTGCCGTCCATGCAGATGTCGCGGCATAAGCCTTGTATGTCGCAGCCTCGAGCCTTTGGCTTAAAATGCAAGAGAATCAAGCTGAGAATTCAAAACTTTTAATTCAAATCAAAGTACACTATATTTTCTCACATTTCAGGTCTATGCCGATGTTGTGCCATCTTATGACTAAATGTTTGTGCCCTGTTCTTCGCTCTCTATCATCGTCTCACGCATATGTTCTGATTTCATGAGGGAGGCTTTCATTCGACAGCTAACTTTGGTAGGAAATGAGTTCATAGACACTGAAGACCCTGTTGCTTCTAGCTGATGTTCTAGGAGTAGCGGGGGAGGGAGAGAATGACCCTATTTCTGCATTCACGCTTTCATGGACCCAAGCTGCCTGTTGGCCGCCTCCATCGCTAATTTGCTGGACTGTTGCAGCTCGCCGAAATTTCTATCGCAAGCGTGAATGCAACGCCGTCCGTGATTGAGCCCTTGGAGCGCATGTCATGTATGCAGTCGCACTTGCTGCGGCTGATTCGCGTTGATTGTGAGAAGTATAAAGCGGATTGCATGCCTGCGGTTCGAATTAATCCAATGCAACTACGATTCATTCTAATTTGGGGCAGTGCTGCCACCGAAACCATATGGTGCGCCGCCACACACTAAAGGGCCATGCCCATTTAGAAACACTGCAGTTGAACTCGCTCACGAGCCGTGCATGTAATTGGGGCGTACCGGCTTCTCTAAATTTGGCAGTCCTGACTAAAGTGTACCCCATCTTATGTAGGTCTTATAGGAAAATGGGTGCTAAAGTATTCGTGGAGAGGGGGCACTTCATAGCGTCTCTGCGTCACCTCCTTAGCCAATGCTTAGGCTTGGCGCGCCAGTCACAGTGCCGCAGTTACCCTTGCAGAGTAAACTTGCCGTTGGAAGAGTTTTTTCCTCCTCAAAGTTCTCGCTCACGAATCCCGCCCCCTCCCTCCTCTCTTACTTCCCATCGCCCATTTTACCTAGCTACCCTTTCTACCTTCCTAAATCTTCTCAACTTCCTGGGCTTTTCAGTTGTTTTTCGGAAATCCCACCACTTTTTCCCCTAAAAGCCCCCGTCCAACAGAGTCAGGGGAGGGTATGTAGCGCTTGAAGCAGGGAATATAAGAGAAACCAATACCAAACTAACCGCTAAAACATTTTTTCTTCATAGGCGAAAGACGACCCTCTTCTTCTAAGTGACCAAATTACATCTCCTCCCGCATTCCATACCCACACCATGGATGACGTGACATGCCCTGGCGCGCAATCCCTCTAGCAATCTGCCCGTCTGCCGCTCTAAATCTGCCAGCCTGACAGAAGAAAAGACGCGAGAAGCGTCTATGGGGGAGTGCCCCGCCCTGCTCCAAATAAGCAGGGCCGAAAGGAAGCAGAGGCAATTTTGATCTCATCCCTGTAACGCCGGGATGAAAAGCCTGTTGTAGTTTGGCGCTGTTGAATGTGCAAGTTTCAATCAGATCTATTAGCGCTTATGATTTTTGCCTTCATCTTCATCTAATTGCCAATCATATTATAAGTTATATTTTCTCACTGCTCCTTCCTCGATGAAGAGCAGCGGCACAGGCTGACTCGGGTGCAGTTGTCACCACCTATTCGTCATTCCACGAACCTTTTGACCCACGGTTGATCAATGCTCGTAGCCGTCGCTTCCGTATCGATCGCCTCAAGGAAGTCGACATCCGTTGGTCGCCTTTGAATTTATTTGGCCATTTCCAATATTGCGTACATTAACTTTTCGTCGTTATTCGGGCTTCCCATTTCTATTTGTAATGTGCAAATGCACGTCATACACAATGTCAGCTGTCTACCTCTTTCTTTTTCATTATGTTTGTAGAATACTATAAGATGCTCCGCAGCTGAATGTGTTATTGATGTATTGATCGCCTTCGCCAAGCCTTTTATGAGGTTATTGATAAGTCTGTCTGATTTCTGTGCTCGGATGTTGTTTTACAGCTACGAAATTCCGAACGCATTACATTTCATTTCTCTAATATTGCATCACTGAACCAATGTGCGCGCACGTGGTGGGGACCGCGCTTATGAAATAATTCATGGAACCAT